TATCAAAAAGTTTCTAGACTTATTTTTGAGAGATTGAGTTACAAATACTATGCTCCACGACGTCTGAGTGAACATTTGATTCTCCATATTTTTGGGTCCTTTGCTCGATCCATAACGGAATTTTTTCAACACAATTAAAAATATGTCTGCGAATATGTGTTTTTTGAAATATTAAGTAGTATGAATAGGGTTAAAAAATTTTGAAAAAGCAAGATTATTTTGTCACACCGTATATAAAGATGAAAAATTACGTACTTTTTAAGACAACTTAAACAATAAAAAAAATATTTTCCAAAAATTCTATCATTTAATATTTGAACATTTAGGTTGAAATGCAATTTCGTCAAGGTATTAATTAACTGTAAAAATATCGATTGGTGAAGCTGAGCTCAATATTACACGGAGCATAGTTAAACGAGACAAGACCATGAGAAAAACGTGTTATGTTTACATTTCTCGAGTACGGAAAACTCAACTATGACGTCACACATTTCTAAAATAAGCTAAATAAGACATACCTACAGAATATTTCCCTCAACAACCATGTAAAAATATTTTTTGCCCTCTGTAATTCACAAAATACCCGACCGTGTACAAATCATGCCCCGTTTTAAATATTTTATACTACCCGTTTTCACCCTGTTTAATCTTACTGTACTGAGAGATCCACTATGATGTCAACGACGCGCTGGACGCGCAGTGTAGGGAAACAGAAGAGTAGATTAGTCTATTTACGTAATTTGATAATATTGCAAGAAATTTTGAATGTTTTCAGATATTTTTATACAAGATAGTGAACGCAAACAAACGGTCAAAAAATTATACAAGTACTGTGATTTCAATCTCGTTTTTTTTTTTTTTTTACATATTTTATCAGAGATTATGACGTAAATAAACTGAGTCATGTGACCATACATCCTCGTCCCCTAAAATCAAAACTTTCCTTACAAAAATTTATTTGGGAGATTAATATAATCATTAGATGAAGAAGAAACGGGATCTCAGCGACATTCACGTGAATGTAAAACTCGTTGAGGTTCTACATTACAGGTTTTTAGCTCACCTGAGCTGAAAGCTCAAGTGAGACTTTCTGATCACATTTTGTCCGGCGTCCGTCTGTCTGTCCGTCTGTCTGTCTGTCCGTCTGTCCGTCTGTCTGTAAACTTTTCACATTTTCGACTTCTTCTCAAGAACCGCTGGGCCAATTTCAACCAAACTTCCCACAAAGCATCCTTGGGTGAAGGGGATTCAAGTTTGTTCAAATGAAAGGCCACGCCCTGTTTCAAAGGGAGATAATTGGGAATTAATGAAAATTTGGTGGCATATTTTAAAAATCTTCTTCTCAAGAACCACTGTGCCAGGAAAGATGAAACTTATAGGGAAACATCCTCAGGTAGTGTAGATTCAAGTTTGTTCAAATCATGACCCCCGGGGGTAGGGCGGGGCCAAAATCGCCGACCTAAGTTTTACATAGAAATATATAGGAAAATTCTTTAAAAATCTTCTTCTCAAGAATGACAAAGCCATAATTCATCATATTTATATGGAAGCATGCTCAGGTACTGTAGATTCAATTTTGTTCAAATCATGACCTCCGGGGGTAGGGCGGGGCCAAAATGCCCGACCAAAGTTTTACATAGAAATATATATAGGAAAATTCTTTAAAAATCTTCTTCTCAAGAATGACAAAGCCATAATTCATCATATTTATATGGAAGCATGCTCAGGTAGTGTACATTCAATTTTGTTCAAATCTTGACCCCCTGGGGGGGGGCGGGGCCAAAATGGCCGACCAAAGTTTTACATAGAAATATATAGGAAAATTCTTTAAAAATCTTCTTCTCAAGAATGACAAAGCCATAATTCATCATATTTATATGGAAGCATGTTCAGGTAGTGTAGATTCAATTTTGTTCAAATCATGACCCCCGGGGGTAGGGCGGGGCCAAAATCGCCGACTTAAGTTTTACATAGAAATATAAAGGAAAATTCTTTAAAAATCTTCTTCTCAAGAATGACAAAGCCATAATTCATCATATTTATATGGAAGCATGCTCAGGTAGTGTACATTCAATTTTGTTCTAATCTTGACCCCCCGGGGAGGGCGGGGCCAAAATGGCCGACCAAAGTTTTACATAGAAATATATAGGAAAATTCTTTAAAAATCTTCTTCTCAAGAATGACAAAGCCATAATTATTATATTTATATTGAAGCATGTTCAGGTAGTGTTTATTCAAGTTTGTTCAAATCATGGCCCCCGGGGAGAGCGGGGCCAAAATGGCCGACCAAAGTTTTACATAGAAATATATAGGAAAATTCTTTAAAAATCTTCTTCTCAAGAATGACAAAGCCATAATTCATCATATTTATATGGAAGCATGTTCAGGTAGTGTAGATTCAATTTTGTTCAAATCTTGATCCCCAGGAGTAGGGCAGGGCCAAAATGGCCGACCAAAGTGTTTAAAGATATATATAGGAAAATTCTTTAAAAATCATTTTCTAAAAATAGCAAATCCATGATTGGTCATGGGACTACTTTTGGATTTAAACTTTACAATAAAAAGCCATTTTCTACCTTTTCCTACCCTTAGTGCTCAGGTGAGCGATGTGGCCCATGGGCCTCTTGTTTTTTTATAATATGTGCTTTAATTCTCGTATCTCTTTCAAAAAAGAAATCAGTGTTCACTCAACATAAAAATGCTTTTATAACATATGAAAATTATTGCCATTTGAGGCGGAAATTGTATTGGAACCGCAGAAGATATTTTTGGGACATATTACTGTGATGACGTATGATTTGATGGATTCTTTTTTCTTGCACCCCAATGCACAAATCGTCAACATTTGAACTTAATCACGTTAAATTCATCTGAATGGACATTAAAAGGTAAAGTATTATTCATTTACAGGTGAGTTATGATATTTTGATTCTGAGAATTGCTTTAACCTAATACTCCATTATACGAGGGTTGTTCGATATATATGTGTATTGTACCACAGCGCGATAACACCTTGCACGATTTAGTCGATATTTATACGCCTGGATAACTATATTCAATGCCTTGCAAACAGTATAAACACGAGACTTCAACTACACATGGTTATAAAATAATCGTCATTTCAATGAAGCCAGTTGTTGACCACTTTTGTAAAAATGGCCGGGAAACGGGCCGAGAATATTAAAGAAATTAGAGCTTATATAAAAGTTCGCACAAAAGTCTGTAATTCGGTAAAGAAGATTTTTTACTGAATTGGGGTAAGTTTATGGGTCTGATAAGGTATATTATGAGACAGTTCGTAGGTGGAGACAGAAATTTCTGACTGGCACAAAGTCCGTCAAAGATGCAGCAAAATGGGGTCGACCTGTGAATGTATCAGGCAAGACAAATGTCTCAAAAGTCAAGGAAATAATTGAAAGTGATGGCAGGTACACGATTCGTGATATTGCCAAAGCTGTTAGCATATCCCTATCGCGGGTGCATTTCATTTTGAAGCATATTTTGAAAGTACGAAAGATTTCTGCCAGATGAATACCCCATATATAAACAGATTACAAAAAAGGTACGAATACAAACCGCTAAGCGACTGCTAAAAATGTTTCCAAACTTTAATTAAAGTAAATTTGCAAACATAGTTACTGGTGACGAAACATGGGTTCACTTTTTCGAACCAGTAAGAAAAGTTTGAAACAAATTATGGCTAACCTAACACGGTAGAGGGCCTGTAGTTGTCAAAAGGACAATGAGTACAAAGAATGTCCTTTCCCAGCAGACACGCAACGTTGTTTCAACGTTGAAAGGAGGTGGAATATAGGTTGCAACGTTGATCAACTATATTTGAACGTTGTTTCAACGTTAAGGTTTCAACGTTGAATCCTCAACCTTTTTTCAATGTTGAAACAACGTTGAAGCTGCAACATATTTTCAACGTTAAATGTCCGTCGATATTTCAACGTTGAAACAACGTTGAGGCTGCAACATATTTTCAACGTTGAATGTTTATCGATATTTCAACGTTGAAACAAAGTTGAAGCTGCAACATATTTTCAACGTTGAATGCTCGTCGATATTTAACGTTGAAACAACGTTGAAGGTTCAGCATTTTTCAACTTTGAGTATTTTCTGATATTGTAGAGTTAAAACAAGGATTAAAATTGCAAAGTTGACTATCTCTTGATTTCAACGTTGAAACAACGTGGAAGATGCAACATTTTTTCAACTTTAGGAAAGTTAGGAAAATTTTACGTTGAAACAACGAGTATTGAGCACTTTAGTTTTTAAGTTTAAAATATAAAGGTGTCTTTAACTTCTAATCCATGTGATTTTCCTCAATACACACACAACTGTATGCATTGTAAGAAAATATTATATATAATAATTATTATACTTAATAAATGAAACGCATGCATTAATAATTGATTTACTCAAAAGAGTTGTGCAAATAGCTAATACCATCTCGTATAAAATTTTAGATATGAATTTACACGATTCATGGCATCTACATTTAACACTTCATTATAATTATATTTCAAAAAATGTTATTATCTTTTTAACAAATTGTGAATGCTATTCTTTTTTACATATTTATAAAATATGTTAAATATAAGCTTTTAATAAATAATAATATCTTTATCCAACATCACACTGTAACTCCATGTTACTATAGAATTAAAAAAAATAATTATTCCGAATTAATGTTCTTAAAATTAGACTGATATAGATCCGTGCCGTATACTATTGCACAGATCATATGTACAGAGCGAATTTAAGAAGTTTTATTTTATTAGATTGTGCTTTTGTTGTGTGCATTAAATTAATTTTATAATCTTTCTTTTCAAAAAATATAAAAGAAATTATTATAATTACATAAGAATGTTCCCACTGACAATTAACCCTAATCAAGTTGCATTACTTAAGATCCACTCCCAAAAACCTTACAGATATTAGATAAGGAGTGCCTCTCGCTTAGTTGGTCAGTTTGGGTGTCAGGATAACCTTGTTATGCAATTTTCTTGCTGTGCAGAGTATAGCTGTTTGCAGCTTATCTAGGTCAAAATTTGAATTCAACTGATGGACAAGAAGTGCGCGTCTCCTTGCTGATCATATTTAATGTGTTTTCAAGCTATATACACAAAGGATTACGGCTGGAATATCAATTTCTGCTCAGTAGGTATTAATTCCTCTTAATGAATTTAAGAAATTAAGCTTTTTTAAGTATCTGTTCATCAATTAATTCTTGTTTTATAAGTATATTTGAAATCTGCGTGAAATGCACATCCTTGGTTCGTGTATTATGTGTTTTGTTGATATTCATTTGATTATGAAATATAAGCCAGTATACTGAAATATTATACAATTTAACTAATTGTAGTTCGTCGTAAGGTTCAATCAAGCAGTGGTGCAGGGAATTGATTGTATAGTCAGCCTTGATTGCATCAGATTCTTCGCCCGTGAAAATTATTCAAAGGAGTGCAACATTTTGTAAGTACACTATGTATATGTATGTCTATAACATTTTTCTTCGGTTATTATTATTTACAAGCATACTCATACGAATTTTAACATGAAGTCAACTTTAATTCTTTTAATCATGTTAATTAAATCCAAGTAGCGGATCGGAATATATTCCTTTGTCTGATTTTTTAAAAACATTCATGTATATGTATTTTTATCGCTTGAAATAAAGTGTTACGTACATTTTATCAAACAAATGGCTTTAACATCTTTATTTTTTTTATCAATAGGCTTTTGCTTTAGAGGATGGATTCTCTGAGCTGTTCATTTCTTTCATTCGTGGGACTTAACTGTATGCGTGATTAAAATCAAGGGATCCGCCACTTTATCGAACTTAGTAGTGTAAGGCAGACGCGTACTTTGAAAGACCTGGATGTGATTACTGTGACCCACTTTTCACTAGGAATATAAATTTTAGTCAAGCAGAGATTTTTGTGATTCAATGATTGATTCCGAAATTATGTTTGTCTTAAAAATACATGTAAAATAAATTCTCTCACAGTCATAATACTGGATTACAACTTATATAAATATTACGCAACTTGAATAATTTTTTTGCTTAGAATTTGAAATGTATTTGTTAATATAAGCAAAATGTAATATTAATTCAACGTGATTTCAACCAAATATCAAAGTTTGTACAACAGAAAAATTTCAACCAAATCTCAACCTTATTTCAACCAATGTTCACTTTTGTTCAATGTTGATATTTGACGTTGAAACAGCTTCAACGTTGCCTCAACTTTCATTTTCAATTGAAAATCAACCATAAATCAACCAAAACTTCAACCCGTTTTCAACGTTTATTCAACGGTGAAAATTGACGGTGAAACAACGTTATATCTCAACGTTGCCTCAACTTTCATATGCAACCAAAATTCAACGTTGATTCAACGTTGAATCAACGTTGAAATGCCTGCTGGGTTATTGCATATTCTTCTCTGGAGATATTTCAGCCGTACAAATTCCGGTGCCGAAGGGCAAAAGTGTTACAGGTCGGTATTACCGAGATGTACTGAAAAAGCTCAAGAAATATTATCAGAAACGACGTCTTGTGTCGGGATTTAGGTATGTCCACCTTCTTCATGATAATGCTCCATCACATACCTCATAGGTAAACCTAAATCAGCGTTCCGTGACGCATTTCATAAATGGATTTAGAGATAAAAAAATTGTGTATTTCAAATCACGGAGAATACTTCGAAGGAATGAAATGTCCATTTGACTTTTTCAATCGAATGCTTTTGAGATATCGTACAATACACAATATATATAGAAAAACCCTCGTACATGTATTTGTAAACCCTATGTTGTATGCACGTGTCATTTTAGAATTCACGTGGTACAAGTAAAAAGATCTAAATTGTACGACAATTGATTTTCCGGCAGATTTTAATTATGTCATTAAGTATGAAGAGAGAATATCTATTTTTCTCAAACTGCTTACTTCAACTTTTTACCTTATTTCTTAATGATATTTTGCGTAAATTTGAATGAAAAAGCAAACGATTTGCAGCCGCATTGTCCTTTTAAGTAAAATTCAAGGAAATGTAATATGAAATTCCAGTATTGTAATCTCAAACAACGTTCAATCTCACCTATCTCATGCTTTTCTGAACTGATTCTATCACCGTCTCCCTGCTGTTTTAGATAACTGTTTATCCCGCTCGAAACGTCTTTGTTCAATGAGGAATATTCTTCTTTGCTAATATCTTCCAATGAGGAGTCTGCCATCTTGCTGGTTTCATCTATGCTTAGGCCTAGTGTGTCATCCTGTTCATCCATTATACAATCTGACAAGGCATTATCATCAGACTTCTCTTCCCCAAGCTTTTTTTGTTCTCTGTCCTTTTCGCCTAAAGAAAAAACGTCTTCAATTTAGGAAGACTTTGATATGTTTCCAGGTTTGTCATATAAACATAAGCTGATTCAGATGTATAAATAAGTTTTTAGGCTTGTAAATATGCATGTATAACATTTGTAAAAGACTTTTAGAGCAATTGATAAGAATATCCAGTTATTATAATATAATATGATATGTGGTGAAATGTATTTATCATTTTCCATATTGAAATTATATTTATATAATTCATATCAACATTTAAGGTATGTCACTGGTTACATTTGTTAAATTAAGGATTTTTTTAGAAGTATATCTTGGATGAGTACTCACATAATATGACTCACAAGCGCGGAAAAAACAGTGGGTCAGTTTGTCTCTTACTGATCTACGGTACAATTAAGTTGACTTTTTGCACTTGACCTTTAACTCTTTAGTTAATTATTATAACCTTTTTAGATATTATTTCATCAGATGTAACGATGGCAAAAATAGAATCGTATTTTACATTAAATAGTTTGAATGATATTTACTTTGAACATAGGACAAGATAGGGTAAGACCATTATTTGGCCCCCTATTTTGGGTGTCTTTCAGAATGATCCAACAGTTTATCCATGTAAACCTGTTTTCAGCCCTGCCACAAAATGAGTTTTGGTTTTAAGATTAAAAAAATACAGGGGTCACAATGAGCTCTGGAAATCAGTCAATTTTCGGAATTTCTCATTTTTATTTAAATTTTCATTAATTTTACAGCATATTTTCTTTCGGAAAACATAGAGCACACGCTTGCCTATCTACCAAATTTATACAGTGTATATTTTATACTCTGATATCAGATGCAGTATATGTGTAAAAATCTCAGATAGGCAAGCGTGTGCTATGTTTACCGAAGAGAAGTGTATCTCAAATATGATGAAATTCCACCAAAATTGAGGAAATTCGGAAAAATGTCCTATTTCTGCACCCTCTAGTGGCTTTCGTGTAAGCTTTGAATCAAAATTTAGTGCTTGTCTTAAAGTAAGCATAATTTTTACGTTTTAACTACACGCTATCACAATTTTACCAGTGTTCTGTTTTTTATATCAAATAGGGGGCCAGATTAGGCTCTTACCCTATCTTGTCCTTTTGCAAATTATTGCGTTAATGCGTGTTATTGTGTGGCATTTTGCACTAAAAAGGGGCATGTGTGTGGTATTTAAAATCTAAAAAGGCAATAGAATAGAATATTTTCGGTATAAAACTTTTTTATGACTTAAATGCTGATCAGTCAAAAGTATCGAGTAGTTTAAAATAATGAAAGAAAAAAAATTGAGGTCACTGATGTTAATTTTGAAATATTGGTAAAAATATGTGAATCACAGGTAAAAAAAAAACTGTGTAAATATTATCATTACTTCTGTAACATATCTCAATTTCTATCTTAATTTCTAGACAAAGTTTGTTTAGGGAAGGTGTAAAATTTGCTAAAAATACCCGGTGTATATTTTGAGACCTTTATTGAAAAGTTGAAGTATATCAGAACGGAAATATTCCCCGAGTAATAGTATTTAAGTAGGTAGATTCTACGATTTTAAATTTAATAACTGCATGTGCAGATTTGCAAAAAATTCTGTCATTGTATAAAATTTTGAAATATCATTCCACCACAAACATATTCCCTTTTAGATTTTGCTTCTCTGTGGCTACATGCCATTTTTTTTTTTTTTGCTCAACATGTTTTCTTTTCTCTGACTCTCCTTATTAAATATAATCTTCCAATTAAAATGTCATTAAAGTTTGTATTTTCTCTATGAATTGGAAAGATACAAACTGATATATATTTCACCAAAAATATGTTCTTTGACCAAGGTTTCTGTATCTGCCGTTAAAAATAAAATTTCAGCATCAATACCTTGGGTTTCTTCACATTCCCGTCTTTCACCTTCAAATTCTATGAAAGGAATTCTTTCTGCAAATAAATATGATTTCACATTACTTCTATTACAAATCAGATTCTCTTTTCATAAAAAAGGACATTACATTCATCAAATTATTTTTTTTTCAAATTATTATCATTTTTCAACGGAGACAATCGACTAACAGAGAAGTATTGATATTAAGGAATGCCAGTAGCCTCGGTTAAATTAAAAATTTAGTAAATTCTGTTGCGATTATAAAGGCCTTGTTAGTTATTGGATGTATTTTGGTTGATTTTGAATTTTTCATTCAAATTTACAAGCTTTGTTTTCAAACTAAAATTAATTACGGAATGTTCCCTCCCCTTGAGCAATTATATAAAAGGCAGGATAACCAGTCAAGAGTTGTTTATTACTCCTCTATAACACCTGAGACTTAAGGAGCTTTCATGGGTCCGTGATTAATGCCCCTCATACACATGTCGCTGTAATTTCACTTTCGTGGTTTTATAAAGTATAAGACATGATAGGGGAATATTTACCCATGGCATTCAGTTCTCTTTCTTTTAAGCTATGTGAACTAGTTTGGATGTCATCCTTCCTCTTGTGAAGCTTAGCCACTGAATTAAAAAAAAACAATATGCTAAATAGTAGATTAATAACATTGTGTAACAAATATTTATCCGTTTGATTATAAAGTATATAAGTATTTAAACTAGAGATTTATTTTTTTTCTTAGATGCATTGAATAGAAGACAAATTCAGACAAAAAATGTATTATGATGAAAAATTACATTAAGATTTTAATAAAGGTACATCTAGTAGAGATGAATGAGAGTCGTTTTGTTGAAGGCTTTCAATGTCCTATTTTTTTCGTATATACATTATTTTCATACCGACGAAAGTCTTTTGTTTTCCTCTTCTGATAATGATTACTGGCACACAGGCAGCAATGAGAAAAAATAACATAAATACGCCCATTACTAGGACCCAAACCCATGTATTGTTTTCATCGATATCCCCTGTCACGGCGGTACTCTTGGTTTCTGTTGGTCCAATTGTTGTAATTCTATTTAAAAGCAAACATATCATTTTCTTTATAAGAGCAGAAATGAATCATAAATCAGTCAACTCTGGATATTTGAGACTGTCTTAATATTCATTACATGACAAAGAATGTTTTGAGGTTGGTGAAACTGAATTATTTATATTAAAATTCAACTGTTTTTTAAATAAGATTTAAAAAAAAAGAGATAGAAATTCTGTGGAATTTTACAATATTTTCCTTGTATACAAAAAAATTTCAAATTTTACAGTTAATCTGGAGTCTGTAAATTTTATTTTTATAACAAAAAACCTTTGAATTTTCACTGCTTATTACTCAAATTAGGTCAAGATTGGAAGAAATTTAAATCTTCATAATATACAAGATCTTCATTTATATGAACTATTTTTAGTCGATATGACATTTAGCATTAAAAGAAGAAAAATAAGGTTTGAAATGTCTAGAAAAGTGAATTAGAAATTTTTGAGACAAATAATAGGATGATAATCACACTTTTGGGGTTATTTCCTCTAAAAGATGACTATTTTTGTTGTTGTTGTTGTTTTTTTTTTGTTTTTTTTTTTTTTTTGTAATGATGAATTTTTTTTTCATGTCGTCGGAACTTCTCGCCCATTAATCGATAAATTAATCATAAGGTGTACAAAATGCTTGTCATAATCCTCACTTAAGGGACAATAAGATAGATCTTGTGTTATAAAAACTTATTTAGAGTTAACAAACAACCAAAGACAA